CAATCCCTTCTCCTCCATTCTCCTCTCAGGATCTTGGGCATGCACGCACACGCGCCCGGTGTGAGTTTTAAGCCACCAGGTCCAGGACGCGAACCATGGTGGACTACATGGGAGTCCAGCGACATAGCCATTACGCTAACTGCTGGTTCCCAAAATATGTTTTAAAAATAAAATACTGAAGGACCAACAAATGGTGTAATGGTTACATCCTTGGATTCCCACGTAGTCGACCACAGTACAAGTACCGGACCCAGCGGAACTCACACCAGGTGTGTGTGCGTGGGTGCCCAAAATCCCAAGAGGAGAATAGAGAAGAAGGGATTGTGGTATGGCCATTCCCCCTAGGAAGTGATTTCTCGCTTTCTGGCTCTTTGTGTCTCTGTCGCTCAGGAGAGTGCACATGCCCCATAGCAAAAATCTCTCTCTTGAATAAAAATAAACTAATTAATTTAATAGAGAACTGATCTTTTTAAAAATTACTTATTTAATTTTACTTATTAACATTATTCTTTATTTTGCTATAGGACATGTATACTCACCAAAGAGAGGTAGAGAGAAAGGGAAAGGGAGAAAGCAAGCCACCAGGTCTAGGACTCAAACCACAGTTAGCCATGTGGGAGTCCAGTACCTTAATCACCACACCATCTGCTGGCCCCCGAGAACTGGTTTTAACTCAGTGATCATTAGAACTTGGGAATTTTGGGGACTAGCAGATAGCATACTGGTATGTGACTGGACTCCCACATAGTTGACTATGGTTTGATTCCCAGACCTGGCAGCTTAAAACTCACACCGGGTGCATGTGCATGTCATGCCCAAAATCTCAAGAGGAGAATGGAGGAAAAGGGATTGTGGTATGTTCAGAAATCACCCAGGGGGAGATTTCTCGTTTTTCTGTCTCTCTATCTCTTTCTGTCTCTCCTGTAAGTGCATGCACCCTATAGCAAAAAAATTATCTCTTTTCTCCTGCATCTTCTGGAGTTTGTTATCTATCTCTTTTCTCTTACATGTCTGTTAGCTTTGTCTGTTCACTTTAGATACATCTGAATGTTTTTATAACAAATAATGTAAGAAAAAGTATTTCCATCATAAAGGAAAAAAATAATCTTTGGAATGTTACATTCAGAGTTGTAGCATAATAACTGAGTCTAAAAGAAAAAGAAGAATTGGGGCTGGCAAGTAACATGGTGGTTAAAGGCGCTGGACTCCCATATGGCTGACCACAGTTCAAGTCTCGGACCTGATGGCTTGCTTTCTCACTTCCTCTTTTTCTCTCTCTCTCTCTCTGATCAAACTGGAAAATAATCATGATAATAATAAATAAAGTTAAATAAAATAATTAAAAAAATCGAGTTGTCTTTTAAAAAAATAAAAAATAAAAAAATAAAAAACAAAAGAAAAAGAAGAATTAGTAGAGGTAGAATCAATATTTGATAAAAAAAATATTCTACAGAGGCTTAATCAGGAGGAGACCTAACGCTTTTAAAAGTAGTTTAGGTGAGAAAAATGTTTGAAGATAGACTTATAATGGTAAGAACTAAAAAACAAAGACAAGTGAAAAATTCCATGAAGAAAAATGAATGGAGAAATCAAGATCAAGAAAATAACAGGTTAAAAAAAAGGAAGGGGTTAACGAGTGGTGTGGTGGTTAAGAGCACTGGATTCCCCCAGGGCTGACTGCGGTTCAAATCCCAGACCTGATAGCTTTCTTTCTCACTTCCCTCTCTCTCTCTCTCTCTGGTGAAAAAAAAAAAAAAAAAAAAAAAGAGTAATAATAACAAAAAAACAGTTAAATAAGATATTTTTTTTAAAAAGGAAGATGGGTTATTCTAGTTACTGCTAGAACTATCTTCACAGTTCTAGGGAAGCCATTGTAAGCATAATCAACACTACTCAGTACATTGTTTTAAAAAAATGGGGAGATGATGAGAACATAAGAAATAAGCATAAGTAGGCCATGGCATAATGGTCAACCAGACCATTCCACATGGTCAGCCGTGTGTGGTTCAAGTCCCAGACGTGGCAACTTGAAAAGTATGCCAAGAATTTGTGTGTACATACTCAAAAATTCCAAAAGGGAGAAACCAAGGAGAAGGAATTGCAGTGATCATCCTCCACAGAAAGGTGCTTTCTTACTTTCCTCCTCTCTCTCTCTCTCTCTTTGGCAAGTACACACATGCTCTAGCAAAAGTTAAAAAAAAAAAGAAAGAAAGAAAGAAATATAAGCATAAAGAGAAACAAAGTATGTAGGATTCAAATTTGCTTAAACTTTTTGAATGTTCTAAAGATAGGACCACAGGTTTAATATACACTTGTAGAGCACTGCACCACTGCTGCACACCTGTCCCCCCATCACCATGTATTCATTAACGAATAGTTATAAATTGTGTATTTCTTTATATATACATAGAGAGAAGTTTAGAAAAACACACATCAAAATGTTTACAGATTGGGAACCAGCAGTTAGCATAATGGCTATGTTGCTGGACTCCCACGTAGTCGACTGCGGTTCACGTCCCAGACCTGGTGGCTTAAAACTCATGCAGGGTGCGTGTGCGTGCGTGCCCAAGATCCCGAGAGGAGAATGGAAGAGAAAGGATTGCCGCGTGACCATCCCCCCTGGGGGGGTGATTTCTCGCTTTCTGTCTCTATGTCTCTGTCTGACAAGTGCACGCGCCCTATAGCGAAAACCTCTCCAAAAAAAAAGTCTGGGTAGCAAGACTTTGAGAGACTTAATTTTTATTTTATATATTTCTGTAACATCTGAAAATTTTAAAACAAAAATACATTATTTTTATAATTGCCAAGATGATCAATGATGATAAAAAAAAAACATCTTGCCAGTTTCCTTCATCACTCTTACCTGCAAGGCTTTCTCCTTCTCGTTTGTCAATTCCTGAGAATGCTTGTTAGTCAACGCTGCTGTGTGTGACGCCCATTCATTCCGTAACTTATCTAATTCTTGAATTTTTTCTGATAATGTCTATATTAAGAGTTCAATACAAAATAATAGTTTCCTGAATATGTCATACATGGTAATATTTACAAGGATATTACACAAAATAAAATGACAGCTTTTCTAGACATACTCAAAGCCTTTTCTTACACACTTTTTAAAAATTATTTTTATTTAACTTTATTTATTCATACATTTTAATTTGACCAGAGAGGGACACAGAGAGAGAAAAATGAAAGAGAGAGAGGGAAAGCGAGAAAGCAAACTCAGCCATGTGGGAGTCCAGCACCCTTAACCACCACGTCACCTGCTGGCTCCCACACTTTTTAATTTGAAGGAATCAAGATTTGAAAATATACCTTAGAGCTAACATGACTGACAAGCTCTGTAAGCTTTTAGTTAAATCTGGTTCTTCACTACCCAATCCTTTCTCCTGGCCTAAAGAAACAAAGGAACTCATGGTGGAACAAGCGAGGCATGAGGAGTTATTCGTTCATTAGACATAAAATCCAGTACCATGGTCCCCATGAGAGCCTTTATTTATTCATACATTTTAATTTGACCAGAGAGGGACACAGAGAGAGAAAAATGAAAGAGAGAGAGGGAAAGCGAGAAAGCAAACTCAGCCATGTGGGAGTCCAGCACCCTTAACCACCACGTCACCTGCTGGCTCCCACACTTTTTAATTTGAAGGAATCAAGATTTGAAAATATACCTTAGAGCTAACATGACTGACAAGCTCTGTAAGCTTTTAGTTAAATCTGGTTCTTCACTACCCAATCCTTTCTCCTGGCCTAAAGAAACAAAGGAACTCATGGTGGAACAAGCGAGGCATGAGGAGTTATTCGTTCATTAGACATAAAATCCAGTACCATGGTCCCCATGAGAGCCTTGTTGGACAGGGGTATTTTCTGCCTGAAGTCAAATAGTTTATCACATACTGGGGGGCTCAAAGTCAAGGACTAGGGGTGAAAATGTAGTAGCTATGACTGAAGCGATGCTAAGCTTATCAACTAACTCTAAACATAACAGAAGTAAAGAAGGGCTAGAACTGCCACCTTCCAGTAATTAGCCAAAATGACAAACACAAAGGAAAAGAGGAGAGGCACCCGATATATGTTCTCTAGGCCTTTTAGAAAACATGGAGTGGTTCCTCTGGCAACATATATGGGAATTTACAAGAAAGGTGATATTGTAGACATCAAGGGAATGGGTACTGTTCAAAAAGAAATGCCCCACAAATATTACCATGGCAAAACTGTAAGAGTCTACAATGTTACCCAGCATGCTGTTGGCATTGTAAACAAAAAAGTTAAGGGCAAGATTCTTGCCAAGAGAATCAATGTGTATATTGAGCATATTAAGTATTCTAAGAGCAGAGATAGCTTCCTAAAACGTGTGAAGGAAAATGATCAGAAAAAGAAGGAAGCCAAAGAGAAAGGTACCTGGGTTCAACTGAAGCACCAGCCTACTCCACTCAGAGAAGCACACTTTGTGAGAACCAATGGAAAGGAGCCTGAGCTACTGGAACCTATTCCCTATGAATTCATGATATGATGGGTGTTAAAAATAAACTAATCTGGGGAACCAGCAGTTAGCGTAATGGCTATGTCGCTGGACTCCCACGTAGTCGACCGCGGTTCGTGTCCCCGACCCGGTGGCTTAAAACTCACGCCGGGCGCGTGTGCGTGCGTGCCCAAGATCCCGAGAGGAGAATGGAGGAGAAGGGATTGTGGCGTGACCATCCCCCCTGTGGGGTGATTTCTCGCTTTCTGTCTCTATGTCTCTCTCTGTCTGTCTGGCGAGCGCACGCGCCCTACAGTGAAAAATTTCTCCAAAAAAATAAATAAATAAATAAAATAATCTATGGTCTAAAAAAAAAAAGAAGGGAAATGCTTAGAAGATAGGGACTGAAAATTCTTAGGTCAGAAGAATGAGGTGAATCAAAGGGAAGAGAAAACTAATACATGACAAGTAGTATACATTATCTTATTTAATGAAGATTTGAAGGAAATGTGTTATATATTGGGGATAACAGAAATGTTTGGGTAGAATAAAATATCTAAAAGAGAAAGCATCAGATTAAAACAACTGGTAGAGGAAGGGTGGCAAAAGGAGAGGGAATTCAATGGCAGCATGCTTTGAAAGAGAATATACAAATCTTGTATTTAATTCAAGAAGCAATTCAAAAGAACATATGGCTGACTTAAAAAGACAATATGAAATTTGGATTACCTTTTGTGTGGAGTTCAGTTGCCTAGTAACATCATCTAAAGATTGCATTAGTGATAATCTTTCTTCCTATAAACAAAAATAATAAAATTATGTAATTTTACTATTTAATTTGATCATTTATAGTCAAGCTACTCAAAATGCAGCATCATCCCGAAAGCTGGTTAGAAATGGAGAATCTCTAGTTCCGCCACAGGCCTTCCAAATCAGAATCTGCATTTTAACAATATCCCCAGATGATTTTTGTACCATTAACATCTGATAGGGGCCAGCCCTGGCCTAATAGTTAAGGGTGCTAGATCCCATCACAGCTGACTGTGACTCAAATCCCGGCCCAGGTGGCTTGGAAAACACACTGGGTGCAAGTGTGTGCATGCACGAAATCCCAATGCCACGAAGACACAGAGGAGAGAGGATTGCAGTGTGAACACGCCTCCTTAAGGAGGTGCTTTCCCCATTTTCCCTCTACCAATCTTCCTTAGGCAAGTGCATGCTACAGAGCAGTTAAAAGAAAGTATAAGGGAACCAGCAGTTAGCATAACGACTATGTCGCTGGATTCCTGAAGGGATTGCGGCGTGGCCATCCCCCCCCTGGGGGGTGATTTCTCGCTTTCTGTATCTATGTCTCTGTCTGTCTGGTGAGCGCACACGCCCTATAGCGGAAAAAAAACCTCTCCAAAAAAAAAAAAAAAAGAAAGTATAAGACATACTCATCAGTAGTATTTAACTAAAAAGACTACAAAAACATCTAAGTGGGATTGCCTCATACCTAATTGGTTAAGGAAACTGAATCCCACATCACTGACCATAGTTCAAAACCTGGTCCCAGGCGCTTAAAAATCATGCCAGGCATGTGTGCAGGCATGCCTAAAATCACCACAGGATAGAGAAATGAAGAAGGGACTGTATTGTGGTCATGCCCTACCAAGGGGTATTTTCAACCTCTCTCTGTTTCTCTGTCTTTGGTGAATACATGCACCCTCTGGCAATTAGGGGGAAAAAGTAAAAAAGAAAGAAAAAAAACCCTTTTTTTTATTTGCAAGTGGGAATGTATAAAGTGAGGGAGAGCACCCTCCATAAGAGATAGTCACGTGGTGCCATCCCTTCTCTCTCTTATTTAAAAGAATTATTAATTCAATTTAATTTACTATTTTTTTAAAAATTTGCTATAGGGCACATACACTCACCAGAGAGAAAGAGAGACAGAGACAGAGATGGACAGAGAGAGAAAGAGAGTGAGAAAGCAAACTGCCAGGTTTGAGACTCAAACCACAGCTGGCCATGTGGGAGTCCAGCACCTTAACCACCATGGCATCTACTAGCCCCTTCTTCTCCATTTCTACTTCAGGATTTTGAGCACACACACATGCCCAGTATGTTTCTCAAGCTGTCAGGTCTGGGACTTGAACCACACAGTCAGCCACGTGAGATCCAGCCACCTTAATCATCACACCACTGGCTGACCTGATAAAACAAATCTCATACATGGCATCCCTATGTGTTTATTTCCTTGTATCCTGAATATCACATAGCATTTTGTAATTTTCAATACACTTTCATATATTTTCATCTCATTTATTATTAGTCTTTTGTTTTTTTAATTTTGCTATAGGGCCTATGTGGTTGCTAGACAGATGGAAAGAAAATGAGAAAGCACCCCCCCCACCCCCCGCAAGGGAGAATGTCGCTGCCACAATCCTTTCTTCTTCACTCTCCTAGAGATTTCGGGCATGTATACACATACGCCTGGCATGTTTTTCAAGCTGCTGGGTCCAGGACTTGAACTGTAGTTGGCCATGTGGAATCCAGCTGTCTCAACCACCACACCACCATGTTAGCTCTATTTTATTCCATTTATAATGGGTGAGAGATTCCTATACACACCTACCAACTGATGAAACTATGATGTAAGAATCTAAGTGACCTGTGCAAGGTCACAGATATTAGAAACTTGTTTCTTAATTGTTGGTGCCATTGAATCTAGACTAGATGAAAAGCAATAAATTTATTACAAGTTACAAAATTTTATTCAGAAAACAAAAACTAATAGCAATATAGCTCTTCAGTGATTTATTTAAAACCTTTGGTACTTATTTTTTAAAAATCATTTAATATTTCACTCTTACCTTGCTACACTTCAAACAGCCTGCTAGAAATTTCTTTATTTCCACATCATTTCCAGGTAAAAGTTTTAGTGAAAGGTGTGTAAGGTGCTTAAAAGGATTTGTCTCTATCACATTTAAAAGTGCGGGTGAGTTATCCAAAAGAGGTGCTGAAGAAACTAACTGTAGCAAAAACCTTTGAAAAGAAAGTGTCACATTATAACACACTTAATGAGACAGTAAACTCCCACACTGCATAAGTTCCTCCACATAGAAAAATCAGTAAAAAAGCATATTGAAATCATAGGGACCAATATATAGGAACTCTCAATGGTAAAGGATTAGATAAATTGGGCAACAAAGGGAAAAAGACAGACTGAAACACATATATATGCTCATGAGTTCACCATGAAAGATGAGGAGAAAGTCAAAACTAAAAACAAAAACTAGCTGAATATCACAGAAGTAACTATAGAGTACCAGCACCTTAATTTGAAAATGATCATTTAAAAGTAAGAATTAAGCATTTATTCTTTCCTTATGAATTTTCAGAGCAATCATAGAGTCCTAACTGATGAGGATGTTTTTTTATAAATCCACACCTAGTAAACATGTAAATAATAACAGACTTAGAAAAGCACCTTAAAAAATTTGTTTTGGCTTTTGCTGTAGAGAACGTGCATATGCCAGAGACAGTGAAAGACAAAGTGAGAAATCACACCCCCAGGGGAGATAGCTATGCTACAATTCCTTCTCCTCCATTTTCCTCTCAACATTTTGGTCATGCATGCACAGTGCTCAGTGTGATTTTCAAGCCTCCGTGTCTAGGACTTGAACCGCATTTGCAATGCAAGAGTCCAGCACTTTAACTGCCATACCACCTGCTGGCTCCAGAAAAGTATCATTTTGGGACTGGTCCGATGGCTTAGTGGTTAAGGAAGCTAGATTCCATGTGGCTGATCACACAGTCTGAGTCCCAGACCTGGTGGGTGTCTGTGCCCAAAATCCCAAAGGGAGAAATGGAGATGGGACTACAGTCTGTCCACTTCCAATTAGAGGGTGCTTTCTTTTCTTCTTCTTTTTTTTTTAGGCTTTGCTATAGTGCATGTACATTCACTACACAGAGAAAGAGGGAAAGTGAGAAAGCATCCCCTAGCAGGATGACCACACCACAGTCCCTTCTCCTCAATTCTGCTCTCAGGACTTGGGAACACATGCATATGTGCCCTACATGTTTCCCAGCCACCGGGTGTGGGACTTGAACTGTGCAGTTGGCCATGTGGAATTCAGCCACCTTAATCCAGGAGGTGAATTCTATCTCTTCCTCACTGATAAGTACATGTACCCTCTAGCAATGAAGCGAAAAGAAAAGCATCATTTTGCAGTTCCTAATAAAATAATTGATTTGAACAACAAACATCAATCAATAAAACCAATAAATAAAAGGTAATAGTGAACTTTATAATGAAAAGATCAGGTGTTAATACCACATGAATACAAATAAATAAACACACAAAATCTTATTCTTCTCTTTTTCAAAGATCATTATAAAAATATAATAAATAATACTTGATACTATTATATTAAATATTTCATAAAACTTCAGTGGCTTTGTGAAGACATGAAAAGCAAGGGGTAAATAGTGATTTTAATCAAGATTCCTTAAAATCTAAAATTTAATGAAGTCCTAGCCCCAGCTTTAAAAATAAAGGACAAAACTTAGAATACAGAAAATATTTTGCAATCAACTTGTCTTTCAAAGAGTTTGTCTTGGAAAATATTTAATAATTACAAGGAGGGGCCAGCAGGTGGCATGGTGGTTAAGGGCACTGGACACCCACATGGCCAACCGTGGTTGGAGTCCTGGATCAGGTGGCTTGTTTTCTCACTTTTCCTCTCTTTCTCTCTCTCACTTGCTCTGCCTTTCTCTGGTCAAATTAAAAAATAATAATAATGACAGTATAACAAATAAATAAATAAATGTTTTTTAAAAAAATCTGTAGGGTACATGCATTTACCAGAGAGATGAAGAGGGAGGAAAAATGAAAAACCACCCTCCAGAGGGGATGGCCATGCCACAGTCCCTTCTCAGTATTTTGGGTGTGCACACATGTGCCTGACACATTTTTCAAGCTACTGGATTCAAGCTTCAAACCACACAGTTAACCATGTGGGATCCAGCTTCCTTAACCATCACACCACCAACTGATCCTCATAATGCTTTTTTAAAAGCTGTGTATTCAAAGTATTGATAGAATTTTATTTTATTTTAATAAAGTAGAAA